AGCTGGATAAAAGGACTTGTTTGCTCGCATTACTGTTTCTGAAGAGTAGTATTGCGCAAGTCCTGATTGTACTGCCCAGTGGCTTATCCTCTACGCATGCTCGCAATTGTTCTGTTATGGGAGGTAGGCTCAGTCTACTCTTTTGTATTTTGAGCATCATTAATATTGTTGTGAGTGACGAGTAAGTTGAGAAAAGGAAATGAGTTCAAATGACCCATGATTAGCTTTTGTTTTGGTAACAGTAGCGTGAACATTGATTCGGATTTTGCTCGTGCGCTGTGCTGTGTTTGTTCATCAGACCCTTCCACCCAAGACCAAGTTGTTCCTGGATTGGCAAGGCATCAGCGATCAGAACCTGGTGAAGGCAGCAGATTCTGCCCAGCGATTTGTAGCAACTCTCTACAGCTTGTTGAACAAGCACACCAATTTATCCACGGCGGTCTCGTCTCAGCAGCATGGGAAACCCTTGCAATGTATTCGGTTCCTTTGGAAGCTTGCGTGAGTAGAAGGAAGATGTTTGAAGTGTTTTGCCCGACCTACCACCATATTTTCTCCATTATAACCCGCCCCCCCCCCCCCCCCCATTCTCAGGTCTATCAGCGTATGGTTTCAGAATGTTCACTTCAGCAATGTCACACTCCATTGTAATACCTACAATGTAGAGGAGACGGTTTCGAATAGGCCATAGGTCGCAAACCAGACCGGGCTCAATATTCACTTTCTCTCTTGGTAATGTGATTAGAAAACATACAGGTATTCCACAGTGAGACCACGATGTGTTTTACTCCGAGCCAAAATGTCATGGCTCTGCGATGACCAGAAGTGCCATACCAAGCAGGTGAGTTTTTGACGTGTTGCTCCGCACTGCGACTTGAGTTGAACGTCTATCGAAAAATCAACTTCTTGTCGCAGGTAAACAGCTCTCGCGAATAAAGCACCGTATACCAATGAAAACTAATGGAAGCACACACAAGGCTTATTGTTTCTCTGTACTGGCCAAAGTGGAGCAATAGCAATTACCTAATTTCAGAACTCAAGGTGAACTTGACGTGGACTCCAAAACTGTTCCTGTTTGGAGCCACCTCTGTGACACCAAATTTTGAAACGAAAAATCGGGCAACTTGGAGGCAACGGGCCAACACAAAGGAGTGGCTCAGGTCGATCAACTCTGGCCTCAGAGCAAACTTCAACACGCCAGCTTCCTTCCACAGACATATTTTGAGTGAGCAATCCACACTCATGATCGGTTTAGGTCTACACAATTTTGCCTGTCAAATCGGGGGGAAACACCCTCCTCTACATGTACGTAGTTCATGTTCGACGTATCGCTGGTGGTGCGGTTGTAAGAGCTTGTCGGAGGGTTGGGGTGAGCTGTAAAATCTTGTATGACTCGGACAGCTCGGTATGCACACCAGTTGTTTCCATGTTCCAACTTCGATTGGCACGGGGAACAAAGCTCAGCCTGTGACAGGTAGTGAATTTTGGCCCCAATTTCTCGTTTTTTTGGTCTTCTTTATTATTTCTCAAATGAAGCGGAATCTTGCTCACGCTACCAGTTTGCCATGAAGACTGTAAAAGTAGCGATAAACGATCACTACAGTCCATTTCAAAACTATAGACGCGTACCTAGGCAAAAACCGTTATGCCAGCATCTATACCACATAAAATCTGTGATCACTTTGTGCATAAATTTTTCCAAATTGGGCGTCTGTTATCCAATCCTTTAGAAACTATATGAGAGTAATTGTGGAGCGATCCTGAGCAATATTCCGAAAACTATTCTCAAAAAGTTCCAGCCAAATTTGAAATATTTCAAAAACCCTACGCGTCTATAGTTTTGAAATGCACTGTACTTTCTAAGTAATGAGAAGATATCAACTTCACAAGCTGTGGTGAACCTCCCGCTGACCATGACCATGAACATGGCTGTTGTTAGTCTTGCAGCATTATACTTGCGATACAATTGCTGCGTTTTCTTTCAGCAGTCTACTTGTTCTATGTCTTCCTTGCCTTTTCTCCTTTCCTTTTGGCAGTTATGGATGTGCAAGTGAAATTTCTGTGGAGAAACTGAACATCGCCAGGTTACCAAAGCTGCAAGCTTTTTCTATGATCCACTTGCGCCTGTCTAACGATGAACGTGAGTATTCACTCTGGTTTTTCTTATTTTTTCTTATTTTCCATACACATGCACACGCTCAAGTATCCACCCATATCCACTCGTCCATATCCACTTTTCTATGCAATCACGTACATGTTCCGCGTTTTAACCGTCCGTGGTCAGACAGATGATCCGTCTTGGTGCCACATTTGGCACAGTAGTGCATCGATTGCCCTGTGGGCAGCATTGTAACCCTGGAAATATTCAAGCACAGTCCAAGAATAGCAATACAGGGGCTTTTTCGGGACATATTTCGCGTCATTGACCTCGCACCCAGACATATGACCAAGTAAACCTATTCATCACTTTGGTGTATGATTAAACAACACCACTACTTGGTCCGCCCAGTTAAAATTGGCGCTTATCTTCACACTTGTCTCAGGAAAGAAATACTAATATTTGAAGCAAGCCACAATCACAAAACACTATATACATGATTATTTACATGTCAGTAAGCAACTCAGTCGAAAATTCAAGCAAGTTACACATCCTCCTCGCCACTATCGTCGCTGGAGGAAGAGCTCAAAACGTACGATCCGGACAACTGCTGCACGGGTCGTTTCATAGCTTGTTCCACTTCTACTCGTCTCGAATCACGCTCAAAGGCAGTGCGTGCCTGTCACCTTCCCATCAGAAGCTGAGTGAGACTGCCCGCATGTTGACTGTAAGTGTTATCCCCGTTCGTAGCAATAATGCGACTTTGTTTGAGACAAAAAGGCAACGCCATATCAGTGTCCTTTTTTCAAATCGCCTCTTGCGCTTGTCGTACTTGCTGATCAGCACCCGTACCCACGCGAGCCGCTGGTGCTTGTACATGCAGCGCAGTGATAGCTTCCGCGCTTGATGTAGCACCTGTGCGTACTGCACCTACAACGCCGTGCACCAGGCTTTTCGGCTAGTTTCCTGAAAGTCCTTTGCACGAGTGTTTCTCTCAGGACTTGGTGTTTCCTTTGATTAGCTCCTTTGCCCTGTCCTCTGTGAGCTTCAAAGTGTGTCCGCCGGATTGGTCTCACTTACTGGAGACATCGACATGAGCTGCAGTTTCTTCGTCAGCGATTTGCTGGTGATAGCCCTTCACTAGGCGCTGTACTGTGCAAGCACTGAAATTCAAGCTCGCGAAGCGCTTTTTCAGCTTTTCTAAACCTCCCCGGGGTAAACAATCCTTGCCATCAGACAGCTGGAAGTAGACAGAAACTGTATTCTCCATCGCTCTGAAATGCGAACATCCTGACCTATTTTACGGACTCGAGCGGAGGTTGCAGTGTTTTCTTGCGCTGACGGAAGTGTTCGTCGGCGGCAGCTCCGTCAAAAAGACTCAAACGAACCGATCGCAACTTCTGTGATGGTTTGTGCTGCCATGGCGTCGGATGCAATGGTCAATGGTCATGTTCGGATGGTGAATCGGTGGTTCCATGCCGTGTGGCACAGGCAAAACACCAAAAAACCAAGTGAGAAGATAAGCGCCAATTTTAGCTGGGCGGACCAAGTAGGTCCCTCGAAAAGAAACTTTCTTCCTATGTACCTAAAGAACGTGCAAACCACCTTCCTCTACTCATCATTGCCACTGAAGCACTTGCCTTTTGACGCTGCCTTCAGCTTTGGAAAGAGGAAGGATCACTTGGGATCTAGAATGGTGCTTTAAAAAGGACTGTTAAAACAGTCCTTTTGGGATTGCTGTGGCCTATCTCTTTTCGCACTCCCTTTATACTGCATGAGGGTTTATCTTTGCTTTTGTTTCACTATATCGTATCCAGAGTGCCCGAAGGAGTTCCGAGAGTGGTTTGCTGAGCTGAAGCAGTGGGCTCAGAACCTGAACAAGAGCATAGTGGAAGATGAGGTTCGACAAGACCATCTGCAGCTGTGCATCGATATGTGGAGGCCACTGTCTGGGTTCTATAAAAATGTAGGGCTCGACTCTCTCTTGTCTGAGGTGGAGGTGAAAGATAAGCTCACCACCCTCGAGACTACAGAGGATGCGGTTGATCATCTGCTTGTATGGCGGCCCAAAGGATCGACACCGGAGAAGTGAGAACTATACTGCTTGTTGTCCACCGGTCACTGTACACGTGTACATGTATATCTTTTCTTGACATACATCTGTCTCCTGGCCTGCAACCCACACATCAGATGCATGATGCCTGCACTATTCACTGTATTTCTTGGGCCCCACCATGTTTCAATATCCTCTCGCTTGTGAACTTTGCAACAAGTTGTAGTATGTAACGATCTGTTCATCCAAGTGATTACAGCAGAGCATTCGCTTCTTGACAGAAAGATTGCTGGAGTGGATTAATAATACTACTAATAGTTACAGTTCGCATGTCACTCATGTGCTGCGCTTGCGTAGTTGTTCTTATCTGCTATACGTTCTAACAATATTAAGATGCGTTTTGTTGGCTCTTCTGCCTGGATTCTATTGACATATGGAGTGGATTGTAAGAAAAGAAAGGAAAACTCGAAGTAACCCGGGTTATTGGACTGGTATCACATACCCTAGCTCTAGAGCTCTCTAGAAAGTTTTCAGTACCTCAAGTAGATAGTTTTGACAGTTTATACCTTCATTTGTTTAAACTTTCCACCACTTGTTGCATGTTGGCATTGTCCTTTTGTTGTGGCAGGCTGTACTTGACAAAACAGCTGCTGAACAAATACGGTGTGGCCATTGACTCCAAGATCGAGACAGCAATTTCCCAGAATGTTGTCCTGCCAGACTGCCATGGAAAAGCTTATCATCGGGCCAGATCACGAAGGGATCGCCCTGGCTCAGCTCCACGCGCCCAGGCTTCACAAGCGGTTGCTACTCGTGCTGCAGCGGGAGACAGCAGGGAGACTATTAATAAGGTGTGTGTGTTTTATTAGCTATTCTTCTGTTGTGTCCTATGTACTTGTGGCATTGGTTGTTGTCAATGGCAATTGTTCTATTTGTCGATGAAGTGCTTGCTATTCGCAGGGTAGCATCAGTGGCGATAGCTGTGATAATGCTTGACGTTTAACGTACGGAGAAGCCCTCATGCTGTTGAAGATTATGCATCCTGAACAGTCAGCAAAGGAATAACTGGTGTCCACAATCAGACTTTGTGTTAGGGCTGTGCTCTTTTTCTTGGAAGGTTTGGCGTATCCATTCGTCATTATGCAGTTATCACTGTGCGGTCGTCATTGTGCAATAGTCTGCATGAGATTTTTGTTCAGGATTGTGGGTTATATTTCAGCACAGAATCATTCACGGTTTCCTCCTTTGATGGAATTTTGTTTCTTCCTGTTGAAGGCTCGATTCATCCCAAGCACCACCCTGCAAGAAGCCAAGGAATTGCTTGATGTCATCAGTGACTGGCTTGTCCCGGTCGTGGAGAATCTTGATGTCCTGGTGTTTTTCCATCACCGCAATAGCAGACTCTTCTCGGCTTTCCTCCAGAAAGAGCTCAACTCGGTGGTTTTAAAGCGGTCTGCAGTTGGCGCGGGAGACGTGGAAGCAACCACTCCTGATTCACAGTTATCTAGCCTGTTCTCTAATGCAGATATTTACTCATCATCTCGATCCTCAGGGTCTCCAGAAAGTGATGCTTCTAATACTAGCCATGATCCGAACGATGGCTTTTCTTTGGAGGTTGGTGGTAATATGCACTGTCCATGCACTCTACTTCGAAGCGCACATTCTAGAAGCCCTTTTTTAGACTAATGCCTGTATGTCTTCTGTCTGTCTGTCACTTTGCTTGCGTCTGTTCATATTTATTTTTATATTTTTAGAGTAGAGTAGGTGGCTTCACACTGTATTGCACAAGCCTACAAAAAAGCTGTAGGCTTTTAGAAGTTAAAGGATCACATGTATACTATGTTGTGATTCAGTTATGGATACTGCAGACACTACACGTACGAAGAGAAGAGATCCCCGGATTACGTCTTAACGTTAAGTTTGGCTCCCAAGTGTATTGAAGAGACTTGCACATGTGAAATTGCCATGGAGAGAAAGTCCACGGGGATCATGCAACTATCTGAAACACACAAGTCGTATCTCACGCACAACGCTGTTTCTGTGTGCATATCCTTTGTTCACAGGAGTTTGCCAGTGCTCTTCGTGCAACGCAAGACTGGCTGCACCGGTTTGTGACCAACAAAGCAAAGCTCAGTGATATGTACATCATCACGCAAGACATTTTCCATGCTGTCAGTGTCCAGCAAGAGTTTGATGCGTTGGTCGAATTCGAGCCATTTCAAATTGCCAATAGTGAGTCTTCTGAGCTAAGTAAATTACTCCCCGTTTGTTCGAGGCCATGTCTGAGTTTTGCTGTAAAATCCTGGGCATACATGTTTGCTGCATGTGCTTGTCTGCATGCACTGTGTAGTATGCAAGTTTTAGATCTGTGACGTAAATGAATAGCGAGTCGTCTCAGTGAGCAAGTATGCTGGTGTGATTTGACATGCAACCTATCCTGCATCATATCAATGGTCTGCTGATCTTGCCCATCGTTACATGTGGTCACCAATTGCTAGCTGTGCTCTCTACTTGTCAGTCCTTTCTATACGGCGATATGTGTTGTTGTGCCGTCCGCACCTGTGTATTTCTTCACCCTGTGTAGGATTGGAGCAAGGCAGCTCAAGTGGAGGCAGTGATGTATTGGCCAATGTCCGTTCAATGCTGGAGCTGCTGAACTACTCTGGTATTCTGATGGTAAGGCTTTCCCTATGCTAGGGCTAGGCAGACTGAATTGCTTGATTATCACCAACTTACACAACCTGTGACTTCATAAACCGCCATCATTCCTGTAGTGGAGAAAAGAGCGCACAAGTCATGAATCAGTGGACGGAATGCATGCAACACCCAGCGCTGTGATAATGTGCACATAATGACGAAACCAGAAGGAAACGATTTGGAAACACTTTTTTGAAGGCGTACTTACACTACAGGTATACTCCTTCTGTGTCTATAGTCCTCGCTCTCGTCAAGTTTCTCTTGTGCTGTTCTACTCTCATTATCGTGTGTGTGTGTGTATTCCTACCCTGCAGACTATTGTGAATGTCTGTCACCAGTACCAGCTGGAAGGCTGTCTGACTGATCCGCAGTTTCGACAGGTTCACTCCTTTGCCAAGCAGTTGTCAGAGGGTAAGTGGCAGTGCGTGTGTGTGTGTGTGTGTGTGTGTGTGTGTGTGTGTGTGTGTGTGTGTGTGTGTGTGTGTGTGTGTGTGTGTTTTGCCGGGATCAGCACAGACCCAGGATCTCGCTCACTGTCAGCTACACTGAAACATTTGCCTTGCACTAGGGCACCCTGTAAAAAGACATAATATAGTCCGTGAGGATTGCCCTAGAAAAATAATAAATACTGCTACTAGTACTGGCATCAAGTAGCGTGTTTTTACATGTCACAAAAGGTTGGGTTTTTCTAAGTAGCACGTATGCCTGCACTTGTACATGTGCCTTGTTCTCTTCCTATCTATGTCTTTGTCTCTTGTTTTCAGGTTCATTCTTTGAGGAGTTGGATTCAGGACGTGCCTCACAAGTCAAAACGGAACTGGACACATTGCTATGCGGTACCAGGCCGGAGAACCTGCAGATTTTTGCTGCTGTAAGTGGTGGCGAGCGTTCGTGTTTGGTGGGTGGATAACGTTGTTGGATGTCCTGCTACTTTGTCACTCCGTATAAGCCCAGGTTGGGAGAAGTGCAAAATATATGTCCGTTGGGTAGCAGCGTGCACTTTTCGCATGGCAGCTGATTCATTGCATCATGCACTGTATCTACAATTGTCTGTTATCACTCCTCTCCTGGTGATACAGTGAAGAAGACCTGTGTCATGTTGTTCTCATGTGCCCCCCCCCCCCCCCCCTGGATATGCGTGTTGCATGCCTATCCTGTGGGATGGTGATCCGATTCTTGCTGTGCGGAGGCGATGTTTGTTGTCAGAAGACCAATGCCGCTGCGCGTTTGAGTGCCTGATGTCGGATGTGGAGAATGAAATTGTGGTACCCACACTCAATGTGACTAACTCAACGGAACAAGTCGTTCTTCTTTCCGACTGTCTCTGTGCTCGTGTTGGTGTGCAACATGTAAGACTTTCGTTTGATAATTATTTGATAATTATTATTCTATGGTTCTGATCACTGCAGATCCAAGACTGTGTGGATTTTGGCAAGATCATATGTGAGCACAAGTTTGATCGTCCCCAAGGCAAGGCAAAGTTTGAAAGTCAAGTAAGTCCGTCACTTGCAGTGTTACCTACCTGACCCTGGCCCTTGTTAGTGTGCATTGGGAAATTTCAGCGCTAAAATATCTTTAGGTCGAAAACTATATGCATCTTCATGATGCGCATGCCATACACTTCAAGAAACTAGAACGGATCCGGAATTGAAAAAAGAAAAGAAAAGAGAATTGTAGTGTTGCGTGAAGTTTCAATTGCTTACTCCACGTTTTAGCCAAGCTCCTTGTCCTCGAGTTGTTACGCTGCGCCGGGCATGACGAGATTCTGTGTTAATTTGCACGGACAGCTCAGAACTGTCGCTTGACATCTATCAACAAACTAGCCCAAGATGCACAGTAGCAAGGACAGGGGGCCCTGAAGTTTCGATCCCTAGGGATCGAACGTTGTGTATAATTCATAGTTTCATAAGTTATACTGGTAGGTATTGAAATTTGTCCATCTGAGTTTATTGTGCAGCAATCTGATCCTGCTGATTATAGCTGGGAACAGAGAGATCCAGTGAAGGATTTCTCCGTCTCTACTGACGTTTCATGCCGAAGGTAGCATCAGGAGACGAATGTCATACAAGGGAAATACTGAAACAATTGTTCTCGTCTTCGAATTTGATGATTGTTGTTTCACTTTGTGTCCTTGTTGTGTGTGCCAGGTGAAACTCATCATGCATCAGATTGAGAATGAAGAGTACAACGACATTGTTCTGAACCACCTTACTGCCAGCTTTGTGTACATGCTGCCGTTTGTGGACAAGAGCAGCACCTTTGCTGTATTACTGAGGAAGGTTAGTGATAGATTAGATATGATTACTTCTTGTTATTATTGCTCTCTGGGTGTGCTTTTAAGTAGACCAGGTGCTTACTGGTTACTTCTCTGAGTAGAGTGTACTTTGCTATGTAAACTAAAACCTGGCATGTTTTCTGAACAAACATCATTTACAGGGAGCTGAGTTTTAATTTGTGGAGGAGTCGATGGCGTTGTACTGGTCACAGCTGTGTTGTGCTGGCTCTTTGTTGTTGGTATCATACTTCTTTTAGTGATCATTATCTTTATGATTCTGCCACGTCACGGTGGGTGCGATGTAGCACATCATAGCATCATAAATTGCATGTATATAACTGCTCCTTTGCAAACTTGCACACCATTGCATACCTGATGAGGGCAATTTTGCCAAAACGTTGTAATAATTGATTGAGAAACGAGTTTAAGTTTGCAGAGTGAATGGGAAGAGAGCGGGTCTGCTCTAAAAACCTTTTTTCTTTGTGTGCAGACGTTTTATTTTGTATCCCGTCTGAGAATTGGCCTGCTCTACATCTTGTTAGCAGTACATGCTTTACTGATTATTGTGTGTGTGTTTTGTGGCTGTGTGCATACAGGTGAAAAGCTGGCAGCCTGATATTATCCAGCATGCCATTCATCAGCTGAGGACAGTGCATGACAACATGGAGATGATCAAATTTTGGTTTTCTCGAGCGCAGGTAAGAGGAGCAGCTCGCGAACCTTGGATATTGCAGGGAGAAGAGAAATGGGCTGGCAGTTGGCCGGATCCGTACGAGGGCCTTTCTTGTAAATTGGGACAACAACAGCAGACTTCTGCAACGTTGGAAAAGCTCCCGAGTGAAATAACTTTAAAGGGGAACTCCACGAAAAAATGAAACTTTTACATCCTGTAGAGTTGCGGGCGCTGAGTCGAGTGGTCTTGGTCCGAAGTCTCTACGACAAAGCGTTCTTGAGATATTTCACTTTGAAATTGCGAAAACGGGGGAGGGGGGGGGGGGGCGCCGTGACGTCATGCGGCCATTTCGCTACGTCATCCCGGACTGCCTACGTCGTTGTGGCACGGTCTCAATCTAGGAGCACGACAGAAGACGAGTAACTAGTACGCTTGGGCACCAGGATCTCGACTCGATTGGGACTCCGACTGGTGCGATCGTGGACAAAAGTGTATAGCCATGCCCAGCCCGCAGGAATGATCTTGCTGGCAGGATGTTGCCGTCGCTGTCGAGAAGACGGCCCAAGGTTTCTTTTGTATAACAGACCTCGCAGATTACGAGATCGTAATCTTGCATTGGGCTGTGCCCACCACTGCTCTTTGAGGTTATCTCGACATGCGGAAGCCGCCAATGCCATTGACAGAAGAGTCTGACACCCTCTTTCTCTTCTTCTCTCACTCTCCACTTTACCTGTTTTCGCTTGTTGAAGGGGGAAACTCTGGAGAACGTCATTTACGAACTAGACGATATCCTGTCCTCGGGCAAGTACTGCTTCGTGTTTGGTGCACCAGCTGCGGAAGAGCTACCATTCTCCGAGGACATGGCAGATGACCAGGTTCGTTTGTGCACTGTCTGCCTAATCAAGTATGTGTAATTTGGTGTAATGAAGAAGTGTTGAGGCTTCTTGTAGTTTCATTGACCTGTAACGTTAGAAAAACAGATTTGGGTGGACACACCCATTCCACGATACGGTGCATACCGGTATCCGAACCGCTCTCAAGCTCACCATTCAGGCACATGGCCATAATAAGGAAATGGAAACAATGATACTGTGCCGGCTACATGTGGAAAGGAGCAGCTTATGGGCTGGGATGCTGAGTTACCTGTAAACCAAACCACATTGATGCGAGTAGGGTGTGCCGGAATATGCGTTTGTTTCTTATAGGCTTTTCTTCTTCTTTTTGTTTTATCGGAGACGGTTCTAGTATTTGTTTAGGCGTCCCTCGCTTCATCCATGGTCATTTTTCTTATGATATTCTGCACCAGAAAAGTGCAATACTATCCAACCCGTCGGTGGTGCACATCATCTACCGCATTGGCAGTGCTCGTCCAGTGCCCGACACTCCCAGTACAGCACTGCAATCAATCAATTTGCAGACAGACACCAGTAGTGGAGGCGACACTGGATATCGCTATGTTTCTCCAATACAAAGTCTACCCGGCCTCGTGCTACCAAGGAACCAGGCCGCAACAGTTGCGTCAAGCAATGCAGATCACAATGCTGCAGCGGCGGCGGCAGCAATGCCTGCTGTGCCTGATGACCTTCGACGTGTGATGGAGCGCCTTGGCGTAAGTATCCAGTTGCGGCACGTATGTTAGTGGTGGTGGTGGTGGTGGTGGTGAAGTGATTAAACCCTTGTTATTGTAATTCAGGTGATGCACGATACAGTAGTACAAGTCCAATTATTCCCGCAGCTATGCAGAAGACGTTACTTCAGTAACGTCTGGCGCTAGCCAGGGTCCACACAGCTTTAATTTGGTGTGTGTTTGTGTCACACCTGGCGCTATCCCGTATCTGTCCCGTACCGTACCATCATAGACAGCTGGCCACAAACAGCTGGTCACAATATTCAAATAGGGCTTCCAAATGCAAGATCATAACGTGAAGCAACTTGGAAGAATGAGTATGAATGCGAAGTGTATCGGGGAATCATCCGAATGCATGTAGGGCGATAGTGCGGGTTCGAATCCCAGGTTATGCCTTAAAAAAATTGGCGAAATGAAAATTTTATAACATCCCTATGCTTTTTTTGGCCTAGGTCATCAAGGTGGTAGACGGTGTCGTATTACCCTCGACCGTACCTGTCCCGTACCATACCGTACCATCAAAGACGGCTGGCTACAAACAGCTGGCCACAATATTCAAATAGGGCTTTCAAATGCAAAATCATAACGTGAAGCAACTTGCAAGAATTAGTATGTACCGTAAAGTACCACCAGAGCGCCCCGTCTCGCGAGAGCGCCCCACCTTGATTTTACAGCCTGAGAAAGGAAAATCGTATGGCAGAGTGCAACGAAGTGTGTACGATGTGAGAATCTTAGTGTACTAAGGTCACACTTGGCAGGTTTTTGTGTGGAGCTTGTGTCCTCTTGAAGGTACGGATTGACTGCAAAACGTGCAAAATGTGTACAAGGTTCATGTCGTATGACCTACAGACAGCAGACCACCTTCACAAGACGACCACGAAAGGATGAGATGGTGGGGCGCTCTGGCGGTACTTTACGGTACTAGTATGCGAAGTGTATCGGGGGATGCATGCAGGGCGATAGTGCGGGTTCGAATCCCAGGTTGTCTTAAAAAAAATAGGAGAAATGAAAATTTTATAACATCTCTATGCTTTTTTTTTGCCTAGGTCATCAAGGCAAAAAAGCATAGCGTAGGGCCCTGAGCTTCCAAGCTCTCTCGTTATAGCCGTGTGACAATGCTAGGATATTTAGGGTATGGGCATGCCATGCATTGAGAATAGGTTGTGAGTCCATACACACCTTTGTTGTGTTTGTACGGAAATTCCCAGACTTTGGCTCATTATGAAAAACTCTGCGAACTGTGCTAAATGACACTTAGTACTTAGCTAGTGCCAATTTGCGCCTGAAGCGGAGAGGTGGCTCTTGACCCGCCATACTTAGGGTGTTCAGTCACGTGACATGTGATTTCTTATTCTTTGGATTTTGGCACCAATTTTTTTTATTCGAAAGCTCTAGGTTTCAGGAGGATCTTGGTTAAGTTTCAGCAAAAAACAAGTAAAAGTGGCCGCGCAGTGGCCCGTTGAAGTTTTCACCCATTCACACTATGTACGCACATATTAAATAGTATGCACCCAGTGGCACACACCAGCATTTCTGCCATCCAAACCCAAAAAACAAAGTTGCTCAGATTGCTTATTTTTTCGTGTGCATGGCACTAACACCGGACAAATAAATGCTGTGAAGTCAATTTTCCATTTTTGCTACCAACTTTCAAATTTCCCCCTTAGCAAACACCATAGCAACTGTACAAAAGTCAATGTGTTACCACCCAAAAAACTAAGTTTCTCAGATCACTTAGCTTTTTCGCAGGCATGGCACTAGTAACAGAAAAGTAAATGCTGTGAAGTCAATTTTCCATTTTTGCAACCAACTTTCAACTTTCTCCTTTAGCAACCACCATAGCAACCATACAAAATACAATGACATTGTGTCAGTGTTGGTTACCTTGAAATGCTGCCCAATTGCAACTGTGCCGAAAGGGAAACACAAAGAAGATCACTGGAATTATGCAGCATTGCATGACAAGGCAAAGAGTTCATTGCTGGAGAGACAAACAGGCATGCGCCAGGATATCAAATGCAAACAAAACCACACTCATAACAGACATTACACGCTTTTAATAGCGGATAAGAGAATGCTTAAATTAAATTTGAGAATTTTCAGAGCACATAGAAGAGATTTATAATAGATCAAGCCGAAAAGCTCAGAGAAAGATACATCATGTGCGAATAATGGCTGAACGAGGACTCTTGCAGAGTGTATTCATCGTACAGTTCTGGTTCAATTGGATCGCTTTTATACATCAACAGCGCTCGCCACAGGTGAATCGTCACTGCCAGGTTCGCTGCGCTGGCGAATCAGCTTCCTCAAGTTGGACGCCAATGTTGTAACTGGGAGAGTACGGCCAGCAGAGCTCATAAAGAACAGCTCTTTGGAAGCTTTCTGCTCCAGAACGAATTTCCGAAGCTGGAGTTGTGAGCGCAATTTGCTGCTCTTCGACCAGTGATAGAGGAAATTGATGCAAGCTTTTCATCGATGTTCGTCTCCTGTGTCCACAGACCATGTGCCTCAATCTCCTTGGTCAACTGTTCTTTTCGTGCAATGGTAGCTTGATGCTTCTTTTCCTTCTCTGCCTGCTTTCTCTTGAGCTCTGCCAAGCGATGCTGTCGGATAGCGACCCGTCTGTCCTTGAACTGCAGACGGGCTGATGGAGCTGTTTGCCTAGCCACTTCAATCAGGTTGGACTGCTCAGCTGGTGAAAGAGACTGAAGCCATGAAGCGGTCTCGTTGTTGTTGAACAGAATCATACCTTCCAGAGCAACAGTGTCAGCATTAGGCTTCTCGCGAAGCAAACGGTCCAATTGTGCGAAGTCACGCTCACTGACAGCATTGGTCTTGCGAACCGAAGCAGTCTCAGCAGCTAGGCCTGGTGCACTGAGGTACTTCCCACCTGGTAAGTGGTCCACGAGGAGACGTGCTGAGAATGAAGCTAGCGTCGAACAGAGGTAAGCGAGGATCTCCAACGTGATAGCATCATACTTCTCAGATGGCTCCACGAGAGCTGTGAATACATCACACAGGGTGGATACCTTTGCATCGGGAAATGACCGTGCGCTGCCGTCAAGGAGGTCGCTTGCATCTTTGGCCCAGTCGTCAAACTTGCTACTCAATGCAGTGTAGTACTTGCCAACCTCAAGCACAGAAACATCCGGATCTTCCAGCAGACACCAGAGTGGGTTGATCACAAGCTTGGACAAGATACCAAGTGCTCGGGCACCTGCAATCAACTCTGTCTCACCCAGATCTTCTTTAACAGCACGCAAACGTTGATTGTCTCGTACACTAACGTCAACCAAAAAATGCAGCATTTTGTTGTGGAGATAATAAATACCTGCACCATTGTGGAATACAACATAAGATCTATTTCCCCTGTACTCATCAAGAGGCAATTGTGTGTTTGTCTCGGACAGGAAAGCATGAAAGTCCGCTACGCACCCCGCTGCTTCATCACCATGCTTTTCAAAGGCTTTAGTGGTACTGTAAATAAGCCGTGCTGTGTTCCCTGTCCCCTGCCATGTCCCAGGAAGTCGCCCAGCACCAACCTTCGCACCCTCACCAAAATGAGCCTTTTCCCAAACCTTTTACGCAGCTGTGCAACTATCAGCCAAGCCAAAAATGTAATGCATGCCACAATAAAAACAATTTATGCGGCTCATAGACGTGCGTTCCTCCTCACTGAACCCTTCCCAACCGTCAATAAAAAAATTCACGGTTCGGGGCCAAGTTTTCCACATCCGCAGGAACGCCACCACCCTCTTGGATCAAGGCGCAGATGCAGCTCCTAAGCGGTGGGGGAGTAGATCAGACCCACCACAAAGTGGTCAAAGACGAAAATCCCTTTCGCTGCATCCGAATTATTTACTATAATTATTTCATTTATTTTAGTGGTAACTTCTGCTTTTTGTATTCTTGAATTTATGGTTATTTGTTCTTGCTCTTTGGCAGGGTTCTGTGGAGCGCAGTTCACCTTCTTCGTCGTCAGTAGGTGGTCCCGTTGCAGCAAGGCCCAGAGTATCTGTGCGTGTACTGTCTGCAGAAGACATTGATGACTTTGTGCGCCGGCTTGGTTTTGTCGAGTCCGGCTCGAACATAGAGCATCAGCCAAAGATCAAGAAGTTTGTGGCAAGAAACCAGGCAAGCTAATAGGACAAATCTCGTGTCGTTCTTGGAATTTTTGGCTTTCATCTGTGTGCATTTCTCAGTATGACATCATTCTGATGAGGGAGGGGGACAACGGAGCCCAGTGCTTGCCACCCTTATTACTAATGTGTCCTGTATGGCGATTATACAGTACACATGTCAGGATTCTTGACTTTTTGTGCAAGCTGTGTGCATCATGGTTACTCTATCTCTGGATGGCTAGCCACTAGTTCTCATCAGTGGAGCTCAGTGTTCGGCCGGACTGATTGCAATGAAATCCAGTGAATAACAAAGCATTTCTGCAGAAGGATTATAAACACCACAGGAATAATGATGCTACCTAGAGCTACTAGTCAACCATGCCGTAACGTGTCACTTCGCAGTATCTGACACCCTCAGCTACACCTTCACCCTCTTGCCATCCTTGACTGATCCATCATCCATGCCTGTTGTTTGTCTGGTTTGCTTGCCGTCGTGCTTGAGCAGGCCATCCGTGAGGACTTTTCCCTTTGCCAGAAGCTAGCTGCGCTGGGTCATCAACGTTTTCTCGACAGGTTGAAGTGTGTCTCTGTCAAGGAAGCCAATGATGATTGGGTGAGTCTTAGTGTTATAGATGTGCTGTTTGTAGAGGTATGCATACTCTATGCACTGCTGACTGTTCAGGGATAGAAGTTCTTCTCACTTTGTACGCAGAACTACGCACACGCCACCTATGCTTCCACCCTCTGCCTTTTGTTATCTGGAATGCGATGTGCTTCACCTCTCCAGTGGTCAGTGTATTTAAAAAATAATATTATTCCTAAATTGTACCATTTTGTTGGTGTTTCAGCTGGGCTCCACACGCCTAACCCTGTCCAAGTGGAGTGAGAAGGTGGCTGAGTATCGTGAGAAGTACCCCCTGCTGGTCTTCTTCAGTGTACAGCAGACCGTCGCCATGTCCCGGTTGCTGCACAGTGAGAATGCTCACTATTGCTTCGCTGGTCTGATCCACTACATTGGACAGCTCTACTTGAATACCCTCCCAACTTGGCAGACTCTGAACTCGGCTGTGACCGTAAGTACTAAGCTGGTGGGAATAGCTATCATTGGTTTCATAACAAACGAGTTATCACAGCTGATGCCGGTATGAATTACCCGGTGCCTTGCTTATTGTACTATTGGTCTATCTAGCCGATCAGATCCTTCATCTTCATCCCCCCCCCCCCCCCCCCTCATTGCCTGGTGTGTCGTATTCTATTCTATGTCCATGTGGCTGTTGGGGTGTAATATCATGTCGCCAGCAGGCAGGTTGTGCTGTGATTGAGTATACACCACGCACACACCCACACGCGCACACACACGCACACACACGCGCGCACACACACGCGCGCACACACACACACCCACACATACACGCACACACCCACACGCGCACGCACCCCCCCCCCCCCACACACACTTGGAAGATAAAACCACTGAAGTTGCCACTCCGAGTTTCATGCCTATGGCAATGTTCAGGCAACCGCTCTGTGTGTGATACATCTGTGCCCAGTGCACCGAGCGCTATTCCAGCAGCTGTCGTTATTATCTGCAATGATACGCTACGCATGTCAGTCTTTCGTTGCGTCACCCCCTCTCCTTCTGATGATTACACTTCACATGTGCCGTGCATAATCGTATCTTCATGTCCTCCACTGTGCTGCAGACCTTGTCCAATCGCATGTCTCAAGGTTCCCTGGGATCACGTCTGCAGAATGCACCACCCATCGAAGTTGTGGGCGATTTCCTCAAGCGTTTGTCGAACGCCATCGGCGGTGACCAAGGGGCACTTAGTTTGCTACCGGGAAAGACGTCGGTGAGTAAGCAATGACAGGCTTCGCCTAACGTGGGCATGCCCCATGTGGACTCTGTTCTTTATTCTGCCGTGGGTAGTAGTAGTACTTGCATGCTGCTGCCTGTATCGTGTTTTATGATGTATGCCTGACTACCACAAGTGACTACCTCGCATTTCCTGAATTTACTAGTTTGGGCAGGTCTTGTATTATTTCTGCCTTTTTGAATTAAGCACCGCATCATTTCAAGGCTTTGTGTGTGGATTTTTCAAATTGGGTGAAACATTAGGGCTCTCAAACTGCCAGGTGCCTCGGCCATTATTCCCAACAGTATGGTACGGGCAGTCTCCGGCCACACATTTTAAACTAGTAATGGTTATGTTTGTAAGCTGTCCACAGAATGACTTGACCCCTTTAGCTGGTTAGCTACCTCTAACTGACCTGGTTGGTACATGCGTTGATGTTATTGCTGTCGGTATGCATGTGGTTGTGTTGTTTTGTCAGGCAATGAGTGCTGACTCGCCACTTCACCAAGAGCATCGGTGCATTTTGCATGTCACCTCGCCGTCAACGCCAGCTGAAATGCTGCGGCTGCTGCTCTCTATCTTCATGGCCATACCGCACTCTTTTCAGGTACGGTCTGAATATGTGTTTTTGATTGGCTGCCTCTGCATGGCGTGCTGGTTAGAGTTACTAACATTCCTAGCATTGTTAAAGAAATTCAATAGAGTTTGCTGTGTAAAACAGATCTCGTGACATGAACTGTGAGTACGCTTTTCAGTGTTTTCACACGACCTACACACTACCACATCTCCTGCTGTTTTTGCCAACTTTTTGGTACTATGTTACTGTAAACTGCCTAATATTCGCGATGGATCAATGTTTGCTATTTTCGCAAGAAGAGTGTAACGCGAATATTAACCAGCGTGAAATCAAGCTTCAACAGTGGGTGTATGTAGGTGGCCCGGTGCTTTGCGAATTTTTGCCATTGCAAACTCGCTGGTTCTAAGAAATCGCGAAAATTAGTGACGCGAATATTGTGCAGTTTACAGTAGTTGTGCGAAGAGTATAGTATAGTGAATACAGAGAGCAAGTGCCTAGACCGGGATATGAAGATGAGATGCGTTGCTCTGCTTGTGCACAGCATACTGATGGTGGGTTGATTCTCGACACACTGCTGGCAGGGTGTGCTCGTATACTTAACACTGGTGATGGGGTACTCGTATACATACTGCTGGTGATGGGGTACCTAGTACTCATATACTGCATACTGGTGATGAGGTACTCATATACATACTGCTGGTGATGGGGTACCTAGTACCAAGAGTACATAAACCAGAGTGTGCAACTCGGGATGGTTCCTGTGGGAGCGTAATCCGTGCACTACGTCATTTCTGACGGCATGGTAAGCCACAGGTACGGTGAAAAGTTGCGTCACCAGTCGCGGTGGTGCAGTTCACTGAGTTTGTCCTGATTTCGGTTTTTTGAGACGGATAGCCTGGTGACTTTACTTGTCGGTGGATGTACACAGTCACACAAAACACCGAAATCCTGAAACAGGACGTCTAAAATCAAGCAAACTTGGCTGATTTCCGGGCTATGAAACATGAAAATTTGAGCTGTACGCAAGTCGCGGCTTGGCTGACCTCATCAGGGTGACGTAGTGCACGGACTGCGCTGTTTCAGATCAGATATGCACAGTTGCACACTCTGGTTTATGTACTCTTGCTAGTACTCATAATTATACTGAATACTGCTTGGGGTGGGGTACTCATACCCTGCATACTGCTTGGGGTGGTGTACATACCCTGCATACTGCTTGGGGTGGTGCTCATACATGTATACATGTACATACCGGTGATGTGTTGCTCTGCGTGTGCACTGCATACTCAATTTGTGCAGGTGTTGCGCTGTCAGAGTTCCACCACTGAAGAGCAGCTGAGTCTCTTTCTCAGAAAGGCCTTCTTGTACACAGATGGCACATTTGTTCTGTTCGAAGTCAACAAGCTCTCTAGTGCATTGCAGGAGGTAAGTTTCCTTATGATATTCTGCTTCGGCCCAACCACATATGTGTTCCCTTGTTAGTGCCAACTGTTTTCGTTCGAATGTTCTTTCTTTCAAAACTATTTGAAGATATTTGAATGTTTGAACATGCATCCAAACACTGTTTTGCTCTTTCTTCTTGTTGGACTGGTGTTCGAAGAATGAATTCATCCTTGTTCAGATTTGTTTCCTTATCTCTATAAATAAGATGCAAACTCCCTGTCTCATGTGTTCTACTATGCCTGTTCCCCTTGATGGACACCATCGTCGTCGTCGTTGCCGCCGTTGTTGTTCCATACATATCCGACTGTGTGCATGATTGTGTTCGTGCCTCTGTGCTTGTGTGTACATGGGCATGTGTGTGTGTGTGTGTGCGTGCGTGCGTGCGTGCGTGTGTGTGTGTGTGTGTGTGTGTGTGTGTGTGTGCGTGCGTGTGTGTGTGTGTGTGTGTGTGTGTGTGTGTGTGTGTGTGGGTGGTTATGTACTACACAGTACCTGCTGTCCACACAGCTGGAGTATCACACGGCACACACCAGTGCGGTAGCACGCAATCGCCAGCCCACACGCCGAGCCCAGTTGCACTGCTTGGAGAGTGGCAAGTCCATGCTGCAGGATGTGCCCTGGGTGCGCACTGTGCGCTATCAGGTTAGGACGTATGCGTGTGCTTCGACATGTGTATATGTGTGTGTAAAGGAAACGAAGCTTACCATCGTCATCAGCAGCCTCATAATTACAAAATAATGGCAATGAAAAAGTTTGGTGACAGTTCCCCTTCAACTAAGCATGCCAGGAGCTGTCCCTTCATCGGCGAGGTTGCTGTAGTTGTTTCAGCACTTGTTCTTTTGTGCTGTGTTGTGTTCCCACTTATAGTCTGACCAGAAGGTCCTGAGTGATCCAGCCTGTTTTGACGTGTGCACTGTGAACAAGACCGACATCAAGAATGTCCATGTGGTATATGGCGATGCAGGTAGGATACCGGTATACTCATGATGTGACTGTTACTTGTTAGGCAGTGATATACCATCAGCAACTGCCAAGGAAATGAATGCCCTGTGCATGCTCCAGGGATGCTCCAAGGACGGGTGTCTTGATCCGCTTTAGGATAATGCTGTACATGTATTTATTATTAATATTTGTAGTGATTCCGTGAGCACTATTGGGCAATCTCGTCATAATTTTTTTGTTTTCTCTTTTCCGCTGCATATTGTTGTGCTGACTGGGTTGCAGGTAGTGGAAAGTCACACTTCATCAAGTCTCACATCAAACAGCACAACTGTAGTGAGTCACTGACCATTGCCGTAAACGAGGCATTCACCGCTACTGCCGCCATCAAGAAGCTCAGAGCTCTGCCCCGGGTGGAACTGGCCAGCATCTACTTCAACATAACAGTAATTTCTCAGGTATGCCCTACAGTGCATAGCGTAGCCTACGAGTGCTTGTGAATGTATGCCCTACAGTGCATAGCGTAGTCTACAAGAATAGTGCTTGTGAATAGTTGTGCCTCTATATATGGTAGTTATTCCATGTACACTGGCCATCTTTCCCCAACTGCGTTTGTCATTGATGTGCACTGAGCTGAACTGCTGTATCTGTTTTCTGTTTCTTTATAGCCGAAAGCAACACGTGAAGAGCAGGCAGCCTATGCATCATTGCTTGCTGAGTTCCACTGGGTGTTGCTGGGACTGATTGGATTTCACTGTGTGGAAGACCATGCATCTGGTACCCTGTTCCGTGTCCCAGGTGGCCTGGCGTGGCGCATTTACGTTGAGGTGAGGACCTTGTTGCTTGATATAGCTGTCATGCGTCTATCCTACACGACACTTGCAAAGCAAATCATTTGCCCTGTCGGGTGCTGCCGCGACAATTACTCTCGTGTACGCAGTAAACGCCTCAAGCCATGACGCTACATCACCCTAAGCTTGACCCTAAGCTTGACATGCTGTAAAGGTCGAATAATTCCTATAACTATGTTGCAGCCTTACATCTCTCCTTATCATAATGCCATAAAGGTCAAATAGTGCACATTGCAATAGCTATAGAGTACCTATCTATGAAAAACAGAGAGGTTCCAGGCTGAGTGCTCAATACCGAAAGGCAAAGCTAGTTCAAACAATAATAAGAGGATGAAAAAAGTGTTTTAACTCCGAGTTTCACGCACTAAGCGATCATCAGAAAATAGTAGTGAGTAACTCTGAATACTGGTTTATATACCCACAAAGCAAAAGTGTAAATGCCAGCAGTTGGGAAAGATTGCATCACGGCATAAATTTGAAAGGTGTGATTGACAGCAGTATATGTACCTATCTATGGTGCAACCCAGGAGTAAAATACGTAAGAGCTAACGAGCAACTAAATAAGGTGTTGATTAGTTGAAGACGAAAAAGACAGCTATGCATCTGTTTATAGAACAACAAGACAATTAAATGAAACAACAAGAGTCCCAAGACAAATAGAATAACAGTGTGATTTAGCCACGTGGAGAAATAGAAACCCACGTGCCGATAGTACGGGTTACGACACATGCCTGAATGAATTCAACACATGCCTGAATGAATTCAAGACTGTACTGTAGTAGTTGCATATGAACTGTTTCCCTAGTTCAACAGGAACATTTGACAAGCTCGAGGGTATAATTTGCAATAGCTAGGCCTGAGAGAATAATTTGCAGTAGCTAGGCCTGAGAGAATAACTTTCAGTAGCTAGGCCTGAGAGAATAACTTTCAGTAGCTAGGCCTGAGAAAGTAATTTGCAATAGCTAGGCCTGAGAGAATAATTTGCAGTAGCTAGGCCTGAGAGAATAATTTGCAGTAGCTAGGCTTGAGAGAATAATTTGCAGTAGCTAGGCCTGAGAGAGTAATTTGCAGTAGCTAGGTCTGAGAGAATAACTTTCAGTAGCTAGGCCTGAGAGAATAACTTTCAGTAGCTAGGCCTGAGAGAATAACTTTCAGTAGCTAGGCCTGAGAGAGTAATTTGCAGTAGCTAGCTGTTCTACATGTACATGTAGTTGAGTGAGTGGGTAAACAAACCTGTCAAGCAGACCACAAATAAAGTCAAGTACCGTAAAGTCGCGGCTAAAAGCCGGGTTT